GACTTTGGTTGGCAGTGAAATTAGCCCAAACCGCAAGGCATAATTTATTACTGATCGTAACTGACGATAAAGTAACTCGAATAAAATAATGTTTGTTGTTTTTTCATTATTAGTTTGATGTTACGCGTATATAAATCAAGGACGTTTCCGTGGTATTTTGTTTATTTTAAAAAGTACTATGGAAACATCCTTCATTTACATATGTGTGACATTCGGCTAAAAATTTAAGAAAAGACACGAAATATTTATGTTAAAGTTATAATGCCCAAACTTGTGAATTTATTCAAGCCAATACTGATTAATAATGAATTTTTCTTTGTGGTTTGTAAAATTTTACTCACAACTTGCAGCGCTTCATTTCAATATTTTAGTATTTTTACAGATACCTTTCAAAAAATGCTTAATCGGAGTTAATTTCAATATCTATTATTTTTGCTTCATTAAAAATGTTTAAAAAATTGTTTGTCCGAAAATATCTTCCTAAAATCCCTGGATTAGAAAAATTAGATAAAAATTATGGAGCGAGTAAAATATTTCTCATCTTAACGTTCATGTGGCCGGGTCAAAATCGCCTTTTGCAATATCTGGGACGATTATTTATAACACTAAATTTTGCATTCACTATATTTTTACAGTTACATACCACTTTTCATGTAATTCGACCGCCGATTGACTGGGATTTAGCCATACAAAATTTATTCGAACTATCTTTTGTTCTAATGGAATTATCTTCTTACTACATATTTTTTTCTTTGGAGTGTGAGGTAATAGTTAAATGATTGCAAAGAAAAATAGTTTTATTCATTTTTCGTAAAAGTAGCATAAATATATTTTAGATTCACGATTTGGGTTCGAGGTCTGTCAGTTTTTGGAATAGTGTATTAGATTCTGACCAAAAACAGTTAATGTTAACCATAAGTCAATTTCATCGCAAAATAGCAATAATAGCCAGAGGTTTGATGATAAATGTCGAACTACGACAGTATTTGAGAAAGATTATATAAGCGAGCAAAACAAATGTTTCTTTGCAGTTATAGTCTTTACCTGCCTGATGGGATTCGCTATCTCTCCTGTATCCGTACCATACATAGTTAATTATATTTTTCCAAATAAGTATAATCTAACGCCTAAACTATGCACTTCTGCGGGTGCTTATTTCTTCGACGAGAATAAATATTTTTTCTATTATTTCTTGTACTCATTATTCTTGATGGCTCTGGCTGCTATGATTGGAATTGGTTATTGCTCTATAGCAACATTTTTCATTTCTAATACTCTTATTAGATTCAAATTGGTAGGGTATGTTTTTTGAAACTAAATAAGTAAACTGAAAAATATCATTAAAACGATTTATTTTTGTTTAGTTTTCGTTTGCGAAAATTATGTTCACTCGTAACAAGTGATAATTTTCAAAATACTAAATCAATGGATAAATTTATTTATGAGGAAGTTCAAAATTTACACCTGAGTCACTTGTCTGCTATAAAGTAATTTATCAAACGATTTCATTTAATGTTTAAAATCATATCTGTGTATTTAAACAATTTTTTAGGTATTTTGAGATAGGTGAACATGTATCCAGCAAGTTTCTGATGATTCTTTCTACTTACGCGTTAGTTGGTTTAAGTTTTACAGGGACTATGGTAAAATTATTTTCCAGTTTATTCAATAGAACTTAAAAAAATGTATCCAAATGAAATTTCAGATATTGTACTCTTTGAGTATGGAAAATTATTTCCTCTTATTCGAGATGATAATTTCATTTATTGCGGTCTTATTTTTAGCATTTATAAAAGCTCATTTTGGACAAATAGTTATCGATGCAAGCAATGATATATTTTATGACTGGTAAGTGTTAACAGCTTCAATTATGCAAAAACATTTAATCGTAACTGTGTTACACTAGAAATTAAACGTCAATATAAATGACAAACGTACTCAATCCCAGTATAAAAAATACGTTCGTTCATTTTTAGTACAGAATTCAAAATGACAAACTCAACCGGTCTCATAATAACGGTATTTTTCATGATCATGCTATCACAAACATTAGTATGGTGCATAAGCACACATATGAGAAAATTTTAAAAACGTGACCACTTTGTGTGGTTCGCAAACAATTGCACATCTCTGTAACTCTTATACATTGTTGAGCATGATATGAGAGTGAAAAACCATGTTGTGAAATCAAATTTAAATATGCTCAATTTTTTAGAAAAATGTTGAAAAAGTCAGTTAGTCATTAAGAGAATGGTGAGCGAAAATATCAAATTTCTAGTCCCGTTTTTATGAAACCACTACTGAATATTCCTTATAAGGCCCTGTAGGACCTTACAAGATATCAAAATCAATAAGTCTTTTCGAAAAATATTCAGCAGAATTAAGGAAAAACAAGATTGAAAATTTAATTTTTGGTTGAATTCGCTTGATACAATACTTTGCGTTGTTTTTAAATTTTTATTTCCATAGTACCTTGCTATTTTTAAAATTGCTATAGAAACGTCCTTCGTTTACACTTGTAACATTCGGCTGAAATTTTTCAAACGACACAAAATATTCTATTTTTTAATAAAATTTAAAAAACATGAATTTATGAATCTATACAGGCCAAAAGATATTATATTGTTTTTATTATGATTAAAAATGTATTGTACTTTGTGGTTTGGACAAAGTTTTCTCATGACTTGCCGCACTCTATAATATTTTAGTATTTCGACAGATAGTTACAAAAAATGCTGAATCGGAGTTAATTTTTGTTTTTCATTCTTTAATTTTAACGTATCTGCGATCATTGCTTTATTGAAAATGTTTGAAAAATTGTTCGTCATAAATTATCTTCCTGAAATTCCTGGTTTAGCAGAATTAGATAAATTTTACGGAGAAAGTAAAATATTTCTCGAATTAACGCTCATATGGCCGGGTCAAAATCGACTTTTGCAATATTTCGGAAGGTTATTTATAATGATAAATTTTGTATCAAGTATATTGTGTCAGTTACATACCACATTTCATGTAATTCGACCGCCAATTAACTGGGAATTCGCTATACAAAATTTATTTGAATTATCTTTCGTTTTGATGATAATATCTACTTACTACATACTTTTTTCCATGGAGCATGAGGTAATGGTTAAATAAACTTTGCAAAGAAAACTTTTTTCACAAAAGTAGTATGAATCAATTTTAGGTTCACGACTTCGCCTCCATGACTGTCGATTTTTGGAATAGTATATCAGATTCTGAACAATACGAATTCATACTAAACATAAGCCAATTTTATCGCAGAATAGCGATATTTATTAGAGGTTCGATAATAACATTTTTAATTACCGCACAGTTTGAAAGAAATTATAGCGGACAAAATATTTTTAAGAAACTATAAATTCAAGTTAACACTTTATATTAACGTTTTTTTCAGTTATAATCTTTACCAGCTTCATGGTATTTGCCATCTCTCCGGTATCTGTCCCATATGTAGTTAATTATGTATTTCCAAATAAGTATAATCTAACTCCTAAGCTGTGCTCCACTGCAGGTTATTTTTTCTTTGAGAAGAAATATTTTTTTTATTTATTCTCGTATTCCTTATTCTTCATGACCCAGGCAGCTATTATCGGAATTGCTCTTTGCTCTACAGCAACATTTTTCATATCTAATATTCTTATTAGATTCAATTTGTTGGGGTAAGTTTAATGAAACACATTGACTTGCCTGAAAAGCATATCCAGCGATTTTTTTTCAGTTTTCGTTTGCGAAAATTAAGTTTGCTCGTAGAAAAGGATAATTTCCATAATACAAAATCAGTAAACAAATTTATTTTTGATGAAGTTCAGAGTATACATCAGAGCCACTTGTCTGCTATTGAGTAATGTATCATACTATGTCATCAAATATTTTAAATCGTATCACTTTATTTATAAAAATGTTTAGATTCTTTAAAAAGAGCGAACACATAGGCCGCAATGTACTCATGATTCTGTCCACTTATGTTTTGGTTGGCTTGAGTTTTACAGGCACGATGGTAAAATTATTTTTTAGTTCTTTCGATTGAATTTAAAAAAATTTATTCAAGTGAATTTCCAGATACTGTACTCATTGAGTATAAAAAATTATTTCCTCGTATTGGAGATGATAATTTCCTCCATTGCAATAATATTTTTAGCATTTCTAATCGCTCATTTTGGGCAAATAGTAGTCAATGCGAGCAGTGATATGTTTTATGATTGGTAAGTTTTAAAAAACAATCACGCCCGAAATCGTTCATACAAAGTCATTCTTTCTTTATGTCTTTCCAATGATCATACTCACACACAGATTGCTATGCACACTCACTTTTTTGACTCTATGAAAATGTCTTTTTTCATGTGATGAGTTTTATTTTAAGAAACTGCGGGTACCTAAGAGATATTATATCATCATTTGAGAGGTCTTTATTAATTTTTCACTATTAATTTGTGTATTATTATTGCAGTTACTCATGTGGTTGGTACAATTTCCCTTTAAACACTAAGCCATACATAATAATGATGATGATTCGGGCACTCAGTCCTTGTGAATTAAGCTCAGGTCCATCTACGGTCCTTAAATTGAATTATGAAAATTTTAGTAAAGTAAGTGGAAAATCGATTGCATATCTAGTTCTTAAAATTAGGATTAATTTAAATTTACCCTGTTTTTATCAAGATTGTCAACACTGCAGTATCTTATATGACTGTCATGGCTTCTCTTATATAAATATTATTATATCAACCAATCAATTAATAAGTTTTATTTCGAAATATAGCAATCAATTTATATTAAAACGAAAATGCAAATGAATACTTTCTCAAATTTTTGTCTTATTCAAACACTTCAAACTTCTTTATCCTGATGGAAATGCTCAACATTAATAATTGACTTATGACAAAAAAAAAGAATTTAAAATTATCATTATTTTAATTAATTGACTTATTGTTTGATATTTTTCTATTCTTATAATTTTAAAAATTTGAAAATCATTTTTAAGGACTTGAAAATGCCAATTCAATCGTTTTAAAGAGTCTAAACCACTTTGAAACTCCACCACTAGATGGCGAGTACCTCATTGTGTAATTCTGAAAGTGGCAAAGTCAACATATTCGTGTAAATTGAGCTGTGTCGAGGACGTCATCTACTTCTTCTTGGTAATCGATTCTATGTGTGTGTAGTATACATTAATTCACGCCATACCGCGCGGATCAATCGGTACGTGCATAATACGAGCCGGGGGGATTATACATTTTTCCCTGCACATCGCAAAAGAAAAACACAGAGAGAGAATGGATGAAGCTAGTCTCACATGTACACGCGAACTTACACACACACACATATAAAGTGTACGTACGTGTATTCACCTATTTTATTTTCCACGCAGACATACAGATAAGCGGCTGCTGCGACGAGAAAGAGAGAGGAGAGGAGTGAAAACGGCTGGAATGGACTGTAAAAATAGAGCCGCGCGCGATACGACGCCGGAGCTCGAGATGGATGTGTGCATAAAGCAGAGCGGCATACATTATGCACGGCTTTTAGTAGCATGTATAGCGGTATATAGTGGTGTAGCAGTGGCAGAGTAAGCTAGGATTTTCTCCATTTTTAATCAGGCCTATATCGCGCGACACAGATATAGGTGATTATTATCGCATGTTGTCATGGTATCTCGATGATTTGCGTGAGCTTGCCCTGGCATATTTCTATACGTAAGCGCGCAGCCGTTATCTTTGTTGTGCGAGTCGCATGAGTTGTTGCTGCATTTTTTTTCCTTTGTCTTTCGAATATCTCCCTACATCTACAGAAATCTATATTCATTGCGGAAAAAAATCCACAGGGTATTAAAACGCGCGAGCGCGCAATTGGCCCCGCATGCAAGTTCGAAGCTCCGGGTAAATTATTGAAAATGCCCGGGCAGAGTCGTAATGGATGGGTTTTGCCCCTTTCATTCATTATTCCATAGCTCTGTGTCTGTGTCTGTGTGTTTGCGTAAGTAGATTTGCAGCCTCAATGCCCTTTCATAAATAATAATCGCTGCGGGTATTATACATCGTGCGATTAAAATGTGTTCTCCCAGTGTTGGTTGACCAACAAAAAATGAAAAAAAAAAGAGAGAAAGCGCATCACTCGCTCGGTCTTACGAACCGAATTTTCCTTTTTCCGCGAGAGATCGTCAATTTTCGGAGGGAAAAAAGCCACTCGTTCATTCAACGATAGCCGTCGCTTGAATTATTTGCATATGTGCTCTGTACCAATACCCCGGGGTGGACACATAACGAGATTATTTAGGAGCTGGACGACGAGGTACCGATATATATGTATATATTTCTCCGGACATCTACCTATCAGGCCAAAGAGGAAGGGATAATAAAATGAAAACAGAACTCGAAACTTTTTCAAAGAGAAAACTTTCTTGTATTTTATTTTCACTCGAACCGATGAAAGATTCACTTTGGCCCCGGACCGAAAGCTCCGATGTTAGTCCGCGCACAGCAGCAGCATCGGCATCGGCAACTGGAATATAAATTTATACCAAACGAGAGAGAGAGAGAGAGAGAGATTATAAATATTCAAAACTTGTTTCGTTTATACAGTCGCGCGTACTGTCCCCGCGTTTACGGGCGCACACGGCGCACACAGCAGTCGAATCATTTGAATCGTAAAAGAAAATGTCGAATCGCGTCGATTTTCCGAGCAAGTATAGGAAATAAAACGTAGAAAACGGCGCATCAGTCAAAAAATAAAAACGTCGAAGTCCTCGAAAACACAGCGAAACACATAGTAAGAGATGTAGAGATGCGAAAAGAGAGAGAGAGAAAAAAAGCTCGACTTGCATATCCGTGAAAGACGTGTTGGCACGCGCGCGTACACAGCACAGCACAGCAGTGAGAGAGCATATTCTCTCTCGCTCTCCTTCATGCACCTGCAGTATAAAGTAAAAGCTCGCGCGCGCGCGCCCCTTCTTGCATATACAAGATAGTTATGGGTAACTTCATGCCGGGCTCTTTCTTACTTGCCTTAGAGCTTACCGTTCCAAATTTCATGTTTCTCGTCGTCTTCGGATAGTAGTAGTAGTAGTAGCTCTCGTTGCCTCGCAAGTACACACTCCGCACGCAAACATACATAAATACATACACACACACACAGCAGCAGCAACAGGACTCGGAGGCAAAAACTTGCCATTGTTTCTCTCTCTCTTGCCTATGCGCGCGTAGCTAGAGCTTCTTCAACTCGCATCGCCGAGCTATACACAGCAGCTCTCGCTAAAGGCACAGCTACGACTACTACTACATACACGCGTAATACCATTTTCTATGGTATATGTATGTACACGAGTTGTTGCTGCTCGCTCGCTAGCTCGTCGAGTCACCGCGAGGCTTACTTCAGCCTCGCTCCCCGAAAGCTCGACTTATTGTATTAAATAATATAACGAGTGTTTATCGTGTATACAGCTTATATGATATATATATAGAGCGTTTAGGCGTTGTGGCGCGAGCGCGCGAACGTTTCATCGACTGATTAATAGACTCGACGCCGGCTTCGCAGTCGTAGTCGTTGTCGTCTAACTGCGAATGTGTATTTAGCGAATTTGACGGATGACACGAGGCTTAAACCGAGGGTAATCGAGCTAGGGGATGGGTGGAGGAGGAGGGGGATAATAGTTTCAATTTAGATCCCTTAAATAGAAGCCTAACAATCGAGCTTACTCGCACGACTCGAAGTGCACGTTGTAGTACGATATAGGCACGTGGATTAATAGCTGCTCGCGTACACTCAAGTTCGTGTAAAATTTTGAATTTATAACACGAAAACACGCGTTTGTGCCTCGATCTCGTACACATCGATTTATGCACGCTAGCTGCATTAAGTGCACACACGCGCGCTTATCTCGTCGAGGCAAACGATTCTTAATGCTACATATATTAACATTACGTACACGTGTGTGCGAGTGTGTTTATATATGTACGGTCTTGCGGATAAGGATCCGTTGGTTTCGGGGCGCTCGCTATCCTGCACGGCAGCGCGCAACGACGGACGAGATAGGTAAATTGAGCCTCTGACCAGCTAGAAGTTTGCTCTTAGTGTGTGTGTGTATCGTATATAGAGCGGAGGCGCTTTTGCCATGCGAGTGGAGAGAAACACTATTAGTACACACGTACGAGCTTGCAAGCGCGCGCCGAGGCAAGGCTGTGCACAGGTATAAACACACACACACACGTATACCTCGAAGCTGTCCAATCCCATATATTTGACTAACGAGTTAACACCGTGAAATACCAAGAGAGACGGCTGCTGTTGCAAACGCGCCTAGGGAGGAGGAGGAGGAGGTAGAGGTAGAGGCAGTAACGTACTGCTGCTTGCCGAGATAGCCTCATGCATGCATCGGATCTATATATGGCTTGGCTGGATGCTGCTGCTGCTGCTGCTGCTGTGTATGCTTATGTATACACACGTGAGAGCGCAGCAACCTCTATATACGTCTGAATGTATTTGTGTGTATACGCGCGCGTGTGTGAGTAAAGCTCGTCGCTTTTGCTCGTCGTATAGTCGTCGTCGTCGTCGTCGTCGTTGTCTGTGCGCCGAGCGACTGGTACACACGAGAACGACCTTTGCCCTCTCTCTCTCTGTGTAATGCCCTGTTAGTCGAGACTCGATGCGAGCGACTAGTAGTCGTATATAGCGCAGAAGCCAAGCTGCAGTCAGTTTGGCTTTTTCCGAGTTGTAGCGCGCAAGCTCGCATATATTTACGCTTGTGTTATTTACGCACTGTTGATCTTTGAAAAAAAAAATCGAAAAAACAAAAAAAATGGCAGGTACTATTTCGACGGAAACAAGTTTTTTATACTTGCTCTCGAACTTCGAGAGTCGTTCTTACTTTTTCCGTTGTTTTTCGTTTATTTTTTCTTCAATTATAAATGCGCTGCACTGCGAGCGCAACAAGAAGAGAGCTTGCAAGCTCGTACGCACACACCCACACATAGTTCTAGAAAATATGCACCAAAGCTCTCTCTCTCGCGTCCTCGACAAAATCTGCCTCGTGCACACACCCGCGTACGTACGCACATAGTATACGTATATAATACGGTGGCTCGCTCCAAGTCTGAAGGAGCTTTTCCGCGGGCGCAGCTTTCCCCACGTATACACTGAGAAAAAAAAATCATTGAAACAATGAAAATTTCATTGATTCAACGAAATCATTTAATTAAATACAATCTATGAAATAATTTCATCGAAACAATATTTTTTTTTTATTGCATGAATGAAATTATTTTGTTTGAGTTATTAAATTATTAATCTATTGAATCAAATCAATCAATAAGATTAATTAAATATACATAGAAGTGATAAAATATTTCATCAAATATATTTTTTATTTATTTCACTTTAATAAATAGTTTTATTATTTCAATGAAATATTGTTTGAAAATAATGAAATATTATATAAAACTAATATTTCAGTTATTGATATCAACAAATGGTGTCTTAGGTTTAATCAAATATATTATAAAATAAATAAAATATTACATGAAATTGATGATTCAGTTGTTCAATCAATGAAATATTTCATTCAAATAAGGGAAAATTTGTCAAAACTAATGTGTAAATATGAAAAATTATTCATTTGTTCGATATATCATACTAAGGGTGAGTCCGAGTATACTGATGGCATTGCATGTGTTAATTAACTCCTGTACCTGTAATTAAACATTGCTTATACAGAATTTAAATATATTCATTACATATTTTTTGAAATTATAAGTTTTTTGCCTACCTACATCTAGAAACAATGTTACATTACATTCATTTACAAACGCACGCACGCAACTCATACTTATATACGCTCAAATACATTGGGGATAAAAGATGAGAGCTTTCTTATATAGCAATCAAAAATTTGTTCAGCCACTTGCGAGTTTTGAAATGCGCCATCTAGGAAGTCGGGTGAACTATAAAAAATAAATCGTTTCATTGATGCAACAAAATATCTAATTATTATAAAAAAATATTTCATTATATCAATAAATTAAAAATAATTTAATTGAAATAGTAAATAATTTAGGTTGATTAAATGAAGCGTTCAAAAAGTGCATTTTGGTACGTGATTTATTAAAAAAAATTATACTTTTGTAGTTATCAACTTACATTGGGATACTTTTAATTACCATATAGGTATACATCTTTGAGAATTACTTATAAAATGATCTATTGTCGGTTTATAATTGGAAAGGTTTTCTCTTTCAACAAAACAATAAGAGTTAGTTAACAACTGCACTTCGTAAGCCGATAAATGTTCATTATGATAAGTAATTTTTAATTCTTCACATATGAATGAAACTCGGTTTTCCTTACTTACTAAGATATGACAAATTTTTCCTAACACAGCTGGTACACAATCAGTTGTACCACTATTCATATAAATTACTGATTGTTTTTTGTACAAAGTACCATTCACTCTTACCCATGTAACTACTGAAGGATCAGCGTTGAGCCAATCTATGGGCACTTTTTTTTTGAACTTTGAGAAGTCTAATAAATTCTTGATTGAACTAACTTCTTGTGAACCTACTTCCAATCTCGACTCAAACCCTCGATTAATCAATAGCCTATAAGAGAGCTGCAATTGATGTTTTACAGATAAACTTAATTCAGGATTTACCCTTGAGGTCATTGAATTCGCTACTTCTTTAAAAAATTTGTGTTTGCCTTCAAAACGAATGGTAGAGAATTGATTCAATGGTCCAAAAAGTTTCATTAATCGAGGGTAGTGAGTTAAGATATGATACTTAGGTTTTAAATCTTCTTTAAAATAAGTTATAAACATAGTGTGATGCTCGTGAATAGCATTTTGTAATCTTTCAATAATCGAGTCATTCACGACAGAACCTGTGACAAGACTAACAATTTCCTTAAGAAGTAAAAAATACTCCCATACTGGGTCGTTTTTTTTGACTAAATTACCAACGAGTATACCAAAATAATTGATCAAAAATGACATCTCTGATGCTGAGAGTATTAAATATTTTTTAGATACACAATCATTAGGTAATTTAGTCATTACATTCATATCATCCATACATTTTTTACTTAAATTAGCTAAACGTTCATTTACTTTTTCAAGTGTAAAATAATTTTTTTGTATCAAATGATGCAAAATATGTCCCATGTCGTAGCGGCATATGCCCTCGTAAAGATCGTGTGTTAAGTCCACACAACTATTTTTTGTCACATGAAAATAAGGTATTTGGTTGAAAATACATTCTTCTTCAACACCGTGAGTTAAGTTTTCAGCCGCCAACTTATAATTATCAACGTCTCGCAGTAACTGAGAATCTTCTCTAGTTAAAAATTTACGCTGATTAATATCAGCCGTACAAATACGACAACAATTCATAGATAAAAATGATTTCGAAAATCCCAATATGGAATTTGCTCCTAAATTGTCGCTCACGACTTGAAAAACTACAAAGTTAACTTTAATAGAATTAATGATTAAACCGTCCTTCACTAATTTTTTTAATTTATCTACACAGCANGTAATAGTCGACTGTACATAGACTAATGGTTTTACTTGTGCAATTTAATGCAATTAAATAATGCACATTACTTGAAGTAATTGTACAATTCAAACTACCTAATATTAATGTATATTTTAAGACACCTCAAAATCATTGAATATCTCATAATAATATCTCATAATAAAATATTCAAATTATTAGATGCTCTGCGAGTCAGGTATTGGTCATGAAGCATGGCTTGGAAGTAAATTATGAAAAATCTGAGCAGCACTAAACCTTTATAATACATAAGACGGTTATATAAACATTAAAAACTAATTAAAGTATTGCTGAGTAGGCTATGAATCTCAGCAATACTTTAATTAGTTTTTAATGTTTATATAACCGTCTTATGTATTATAAAGGTTTAGTGCTGCTCAGATTTTTCATAATTTACTTCCAAGCCATGCTTCATGACCAATACCTGACTCGCAGAGCATCTAATAATTTGAATATTTTATTATGAGATATTATTATGAGATATTCAATGATTTTGAGGTGTCTTAAAATATACATTAATATTAGGTAGTTTGAATTGTACAATTACTTCAAGTAATGTGCATTATTTAATTGCATTAAATTGCACAAGTAAAACCATTAGTCTATGTACAGTCGACTATTACGAAGAAGTCGACAGAATGTTAACGAAGTATCTTTGCCATTCGTACCTCTCCTCTGTAGTTACCAAGTCTCAATGTGGTATGACACAATCTTATACTGCTATTATTACATTAAACTCAAAGTACAGAATGATAAAATATTGAAAAAATATGATGTATGAAAAATATGATGTATTGAATGTCTTTATTTAATACACATAACCTGAAATAATTAAATGATGAAAAGTACCTGAAATCATTGCATATTGTATGAAACCTGATAATATTGAACATCTCACAATAATTAACCTCAAACCCAACGAATATGCAAATTACTTAGGTACTGTGCGAGTCAGGTATTGGTCACCCAGTATTGAAATTTACTCAATACTCCGTAACTTTGAGTTTAATGAACTAACAGTAGATAAATATGTACTTAAGAAAGTAATACTTACTTTTAAAAGTATCGATATACTCTTGGAGGTCCCACTGCTTAAGCCAGTCTTGTACTTTTTCATCCATGATGATTTTACCGGCCGTTAGACAATGCGCAGATTTCGATTAGCAATAGGTCACTGGATATTCGAAACCGACAACACAGATTAAATTTTTGCCGGCTTTCCTCTCTCTATCACTGGTATGTGCAAGGTGAAACTCAAAACTAAACACTGTGATTGGAGCAGGGAGCTACTCCGCATTCGGAGGGTAGATCGCAACGAACTGCATTTGAAATTCTTGAAAAATCGAATGTTGTAGCGTTCGATAATGGCGGGCTTTAGCGAGTACAAAATAACATTTCGGAGCATTATAAAGGCGCGGGCTTTAGCGAGTACAAGTAACATTTTAAAAATAAAATTTGATGATAGTAATATATAGAAAACGATCATTCATTTTATCTGTTGAAATAATATAACAGTATCTGCTTCTATCATCTAAAATCTGTACGTAGTAATGGAATTTTAAAATTTTTTTTTTTTTTTTTTTTTTTTTTTTTTTTTTTTTTTTTTTTTTTTTTTTTTTTTTTTTTTTTTTTTTTTTTTTTTTTTTTTTTTTTTTTTTTTTTTTTTTTTTTTTTTTTTTTTTTTTTTTTTTTTTTTTTTTTTTTTTTTTTTTTTTTTTTTTTTTTTTTTTTTTTTTTTTTTTTTTTTTTTTTTTTTTTTTTTTTTTTTTTTTTTTTTTTTTTTTTTTTTTTTTTTTTTTTTTTTTTTTTTTTTTTTTTTTTTTTTTTTTTTTTTTTTTTTTTTTTTTTTTTTTTTTTTTTTTTTTTTTTTTTTTATTTAAAATCTGTCACGAGAAGACAATAATTAAATATTTTTACAGTATAAAGGGTAACATCTTGTTAATTAATAAGTGAAATAACATGTGTGGCTTTTAGATCCAGTGATAAAAAGCTCTCAGAAATCAGCATTTAAGCTCGTTTAGTGTTTTTGTCCGAAGCTAGACAAGATAATAAGAGAAATAAACAACATTTAATGAGTGTTTAATCTCTTTAATCTTGAGTTTTGTGTTTGTTCGTTAGCTAGACGCGCTGCTAGAACATTTGGATGGGTTTTGAGCCGGTTTTTATGCTTGTCCTTGAAAATTTGTATTTCTTCCTTGACGAGAGGGATATGCAGGTCATTTCTTATTGTTTCATTGGTCACAAACCATGGAGCGTTGACTATGCATCGCAGCGTCTTCGATTGGAACCTCTCGATCATGTCCACAGTAGATCTACAGGCTGAACCCCACAACTGAATACCATAGGTCCATATAGGCTTCAGTAAGGTCTTGTAGAGTAGTAATTTATTGTCGAGAGCCAAGGCCGAGTTTCTGCCTAGCATCCAGTACATCTTTTTAAGTTTTAAGCCGAGCTGCTTTCTTTTTGTCCAAACATGTGAGCTCCAGGTCAGCCGTCGATCCAGGTGAATGCCAAGATATTTGACTGTATGTGTCTGTGGTATTGGCTGTCCTCTAAGGTATACTCTTGGACAGGTATCCTTACGGAGAGTGAAAGTTATGTGCTCCGACTTTTTCTCGTTTATAGAGATGCGCCAGTTTCGGGACCAGGTGTCGATTTTAGTGAGGTGTCTCTGTAAAACTACCGAGGCGGTGACTGGATTTTTATCAGTACTGAGCAGAGCAGTATCGTCTGCATACGTGGCCGTTAGAACATTCCTAGAGAGTGGTATATCGGCTGTATATAGTAAATATAAGGTTGGCCCGAGAACACTTCCCTGGGGCACTCCAGCATGTATATCTTTGAGACTGGTTGTCGTATTGTTTATTTTGACTTGAAAAGTCCGGTTTGTGAGGTAGGACTTTAATATCTCATAATGGGAAACTGGGAAGTTCTTTCTAATTTTGAAAAGCAGACCATAGTGCCATACCTTATCAAAAGCCTGGGCGATATCAAGAAAAGCTGCGGAGCAGTAGCATTTGTTTTCGAAAGCTTTTCTTACTTCTGAGACTATCCTACTCACTTGTTCGATGGCAGAGTGTCGTGCACGAAAGCCAAATTGGTGATCCGGAATTAGATTTTTGTCCACTATTATTGGTTCAAGTCTACTTAATAAGAGAATTTCACATATTTTCGAGCAGACTGGCAATAAGCTGATCGGGCGATAGGACGATAGTTGCTCTGGTGGTTTTCCAGGTTTGCCTATAAGTATTACTTGAGCAACCTTCCATTGAGAGGGAAAATGTTTTAATCTAAAGCAGGCGTTTATTACGATGCACAAGAACCTTATTGCTTTTGGTGGTAACCTTTTGATGGTAATTCCGCTTATTCCGTCGTAGCCAGGGGCTTTTCGACTTTTCAGGCTCTTGATAACCTGAAGGACTTCGTTTACATTTACATTTTTTATTTGCGCCTCGTTTTGGTTGAATTCCTGATCAAACAGCAAGGCTCTTTCTTCGTCTTCCGTTATTTGTCTGGGAGGTGTGCTAAAAACTTCGCTAAAATGTTGAGCAAAAGCTTCTACCTTTTCCTCTTCGCTTCTTGCCCACCCGTTAGTTAATCTGATTGGGGTTATAAAATTTTTTGGACGTTTTATGTACTTTGTTGCTTTCCAAAGAGAGAATTCGGTGGCCTCCGATGGTGTAAGATTTTGCAGATAATTTTGGATTTTGTTGTATTTGTCTTGCTGCAGGAGAAGTTTTAGCTCTTTAATTGACTTGTTTAGAAGTGATTTGTCAGCGTGACTGCGCAAGTTTTGCCACTTTTTCCTGAGCTTGCGTTTTTCTTTGATTTTGTTTAATATAGCTTCGGGGAGGTTGATATTTTTCAAATTTTTGTTTGGATTCGGAGGTGGAGTAGCGAGAGAAACTGCTTCATGAATCATGATGTTAAGAGACTCAATTGCCATTTCTATTTCTTCCGGTGTTTTCAGAGAGACATTGCACTTGAGATTTTGGCTGATGTAGTTGCTGTAAAGTGACCAATTTGTTTTATTGTTTCCTAGAAAAATTGGTTTCTCGTTCATTGGAATGTTATTGTTGAGAGTTATTAAAACAGGTGAATGATCAGATGAGAGGTCGAGGCACGAGTGAGTTGTGCAGTGATTTGAGTTGATGCCTTTGGTGACAGCGAAGTCGATTAAGTCTGGACGTTTGGCCAAGTCCGTGGGCCAGTATGTTGGTTCTCCTGTTGATAACGTTTGTAAGTTGTTTTTTCTGATTGATTCATACAGCTGTCTTCCGCGGGGGGTAGGAGTTTGAGAGCGTGAGCCCCACCAGGGGTGCTTTGCGTTGTAGTCGCCACCCGCTAGAAAGCGATGGCCTAATTTTTTGAAAAAAGAGGTAAATTTTTCCTCGTCAATTGAGTGCCCGGGAGGGCAATATATAGCTGAGAAGGTGATAGGCCCGCTGGTGTCCACTATTGTGACGCTTGTTGCTTGCAGGTAATCATCAGTGTTTTTTTCGATTTCGTAATGTCTTATGTCATCTTTTATTATGAGTGCTGTGCCACCGTGGGCTCTTCCGCTCGGGTGTTGTGTGTCGTATATCCTGTAGTTTTTAACGTTGAGATACGTTTTAAGAGTGAAGTGGGTTTCCGATATAAGCATGATATCGACATTATTTGTTAGCAAGAAAGTTTTCAGTTCATCGCTACGCTGGCTCAAGCCGTTAGCGTTCCATATAGCTATCTTGATTACGCTTTTGTAAGCCATTTATAATTTGCTTATTACCGCAGTCAAAAGTTTTAACATAGTGTCAATGCTTGACATGAGTTTAGCGAGCATATTTTCTAGCCTGCTTATAATTGATGAGTTAATTTCTTCTTGGTTTTCGTTATTTGTGTTTATATTTACCGTTTCAGGTTTGTTTTGATAGTCAGTATGAGATGAGCTGACTGGCCTAGTTAGTGCCGAAGCATAAGACATTTCTTCGTTTACTACAATTCTATTTGAAGCATGTGATTTTTTACCACTATTATCTTCGAGATTTTTATTGCGAGGCGCAGGGAAAAGCTTCTGTAGGAGTTGCTTTCGAACAATACAGCCTTTGTAGCTAGCCGGGTGATTTCCTTGACAATTTGCGCAGATAACTGTTTTGATTTTGCCTTTAATCGGGCAGTCGCTAGTAGCGTGCTCGGCGGCACATTTGACACAGATAGCACGTTTGCTGCAATATTTTCGTGTATGGCCGAACTCCTGGCAGTTCATACACTGTGGAACATCCCTTTTCTTTCGTGGAGTTTCGAAACTGATTATGGTGTTTAATAGCTTCTTAATTTTAAAGATATCTTTGTTATTTGGAAGAACTTTGATTTCAACAAAGAATAGGGGAAGTGGAATTTTAGTAACGGCTTGCCTGACGTTGGATATGTTTATTACTGCATGACCGTGCGATTCAATTTCACTTTTTAGATCTTCTATATTCACTGAGGGATGCATATTGCGCAATACCGCTTTGTAGCCTCTATCTTGTTTACATTGGTACGTGTGATATTCTGTCTTCTCATTTTTCAACATTTTTATTACATTAGAATATATTTCATGAGTGGAAGCAAGTACTTTCACCTGGTTGTTGCTGAGAATTTTTAGGGAGTACTCGCCGGACGCGATTTCCTCAAGCTTCGTATTTAGCGGGCCGATATCAATTACATGATACACGAAAATTGGTGGTGGCTTGGGTACTATTAGTTGAGCAGGTTCTTTTATTTCGGTAGCATTTTCAGTCTCCACATCATTGAGTGTTTCAAGTGGGGAAAATTTGTTTTTTGTAGCAGTTGGGTTTAGCCAATAGTTTTCCAGTGATAATTGTCTTCTTTTGGAGACGTTTTTAGAAGAGCCGGGACTGTTTTTGTCGATTATTCTTTTTCTTTTCGTACTGGTTACAGTGGACCAGTTCACTGAGTTGCTATCAGACATTTCCGGTTTACTGAGGGACTCGCCTCGACCGGCCGCCATTTAGGCGGAGGCTTTACTGTATACGCGCTATTGAATTGCGCAGGGAAAGCTGCACTAGGTGTAAGAAAAAGTCTACAATATAGGCAAGTACTTTTATTTTGACTGTTGACACAGAGGAATCGGTTTACA